TGATGATACAATCTTCTAAGGTGAACCTGAGCTGCTTTCAGTCAGGGTTATCATTTGATCAATTTCATAAGTAATGCATTCATTTTTTTCATGTTTTAAAGCCGGAGAAAGTAATGGTTGAGATGGAAATTTAACTGATTTCCAAAATATGTTTATATTATTAGATATTAAAGTACTTTTGAATAGACACAATGTTTTGTTTCTAGTAGGAATTATAAAATGTGCTTTAGATTAGACATATTAATTACATATAATTATAGGCTATATCAACTTTACAGGGTTACAGTATCTTACCAGATACATTTTCTTGGGCACATGATCGGAGTATGTCTTCTGCACACCAATAAACTTAAACTAAACATTTAACATTTTTAACAGCAGTGCCTAAAGAGCCATGCTTAAATGTTACAAAAAGGTCTGACTACATCAAATTAGCACATGGATGTATGGATAAATAATGAAGGTGCTGTTTTTGGAAAGGAGATGAATATCTTAGACCAGTTTAGTTAGAAAAGGGACTTTATATTGGACATACAATGGAACATAGTGGAATGTTCCATTGCTCCAATTTCCATGTAAAACTGCTGTCTCAGGTATAGGACCAGAAATTATTAGAAATGTTTTATATATATGTGTGTGTGTGTGTGTGTGTGTGTGTGTAATGTTATGTACTGTTATTGTTTTTAGATATATTTTCTTCTGTGATGTGTGACTCATGGGAAGAACTGAACAAATATATTTTATTTACACTTTATCTGCAACATTTCATAAAAATTTTGGTCTGAACTTGGCGTTCTGATCTTGCGCCCCGGTGTGCCTTTGTGTTCACGCCCCTGGTAAATGAGGACATTTACTTTGCAGCTCTGGGTCCAGCCTTTTGCCAGGGAATGTCTGTCACTGTATTTTGGGAACTTAATAGGAACGTAAGTTTTTGCGTCAAGTTGCTGATTTAATGCGATTGCTTTACTCTCTTTAATCTCAATGCATTAACCCCTGTAGACCTTAAATAATCAATTAGGGCAGTTTTTCAATTTTTTTTCTTATTTGCATTTGTTGTCTAGCTGATATTTCCCACCCTTAGTTTTCTACCACCCCCCTCCCCCTCCCGCTGCTTGTTTTTCCGCTGCAGCCTGAAGGCACCAACGTATTACTGATGTATTTTCTTTAAAAAAACAAACAAAAAAAAACAAACAAAAAAAAAACACACATACTAAAACAAACGATGGCAATGTTGAATAAAAATGGCATTTTTAAAAGCATTTCCTGGCGGAAACACGGCAGCTAGTACTTTAAAAGCAAGTAGAAAACACGTTGGAAGACAAGACAGAAAGGCGGGGTTTTTACCGTCCCTCTCAGACACAGTAATCCGTCAAAGCGCGCGTCTTATCGGGCTCTGAGGTGTACATTTATTTCGGTGCATACACATCCCCGCGTATGAGTGCAGGCAGGGAGTGTTGTTGATATGTGTTGTCAGCTGAGCAGAGCGAGAGAGAGAGAAAGAGAAAGAGCGAGAGAGCGAGAGAGAGAGAGAGGACAGTCTGCTGCGGAACAGGCTGTTCCCGGCCTGGCACGGAACGGGTTACAGGTCAGGGTGTCTATTGGAACACAGTGTTCTCATCAGCAGCGGCAGCGGTACAGCTACAGTACAGCCGGAACATTGTGTTACTTTGTGGCTGCTTTCCAAGACCTGCCCGTAATTTTACACTAAACACCCTCCCACAACTCTACACGTTTCTGCCCCCCCCCCCACTACCTCCTCCCC